ATTCACTGATGAACAAAGTTCAAAAGAACCGCATAAGAAATCTCTAATAGAAATCTTTTGTCCATTATAAATGTCTTTACTGTCACTTTTGATCAATGAGTCATTGCTGAACCCAAACTTTTATATATAAAATTTTACTTTAATGTAAAAAAAAAAAGAATTGCTGTATTTGTAAACGCCCTAGGTATGCTGTGAAAAGAGCAAAATGTGGAATGGACAAAATACTTTTGAAAAAGCATGGATCAAATAATGCTAAGGCATTTTGATACAACATGGAGCCGAACGATCAAGATTCGGCTTGCTGCGATAGTGTTACACAGTATTCCTGGTGATGACGAATTCGAAAGTGAAGCGAGCATGCATTCAAAAGCGATTACCGTTATCGTTAATAACTGGTGTTGTTGCAAGTCTATATACCGGTGGAAAAATTTCCTCACCTTGACATCTATAGTACTTACAATGTAGGTTACATAAAAAAATTACCATGGTATAAGAGCAGTGTCAAAGGCAAAAGTCAAACAAGGTTCACATAATTGGTTGCCTTTAATGCTGATAAGATCAAACACAGAATACCAATTAATGATTAATAAGTCCCTGCCAAAACCAAACAGTCAGAGGGAACATTCAATCAACAGATGCTTTAGTTGTTGAGGTCTGAGATTTCCTAGAGCGTGTTCACACTCTTGGTTCTTTTGGTCCGAAAAAAGAAAAAGCATTTAGTCCTGGTTCACCTAGCACTCACACTGTCATTTTTACGACGAAACTTGGAAGCGGACCAAGACCCATCTTTTCAGCGGTCTCGGACTCTCGGTCCACTTGTTTGATCCACACACCAGAGTTTGGGTGGCAGAGTTCAACTTCACACTTATTCAAATGAGCTCAGGGTTCGTTTTAATCTAAACAGCGGCTCTATTGTAATCCCACTGGTCAGACCGGATCTCTATCCTCTGAGCCCTAATCAGTGGATCAAACTAACGAGAGTTAACAGTGGGTGAAAATGGTCTGGTGAAAAGACTAATCTAAGCAGACACTACACCACAGCCCAAACCAGTTTCACAGCCTGAGGTCACAGTTCAGATCACTTTAGAGGTAGCATGTAAGAATCGATGAAAGAATGCAAATGGGGAAACAGAACTAACAATGGACCAACTATCAGATAACCACGAGTGGCTGTAAACAATTTAACTAAATTTCAACAAAATGACAAACAAATTCTGCAGAAATGGCTGCTTTTCCAGTCATTGTAGATAAAGAATAGGGCTTGGGCGCCGCGTTGCATTCTGGGACGTGGCCGCCGTGTTGACAGCTTCGCGAATGTAAACATACCGGTCCCTGGTTTCCCTATTTAACGTATCCCCCGGTAAATTCCACATCCTTTTAGGGATTTTAACATCTTTTTTCTTTTCTTTCTCCCAACTCTGCTGCTTCTCCTCGTTCGACTTGCTGTATGTTTACATTCGCAAAGCTGTCAACATGGCCGCCACGTCCCACAATGCAACGCGGCGCCCAAGCCCTATTTAACATGGTCTCCTGAAAGACTGCAACTTGAATTCCTTCTTTGCTAAACATCAACACAACCAACACCAGAGCAATTAACGCATTCAAACCCTGCGGAATAGAAGCTCACTTAAATTGTTCTGATTAATTAATCTAAACTCCACCTTTATATCGGTTTGCTTTCAGTTTCAGCCGTGCCAATTAGCCCTGAGCGTGAGCTATAAATCAGTCCAATCTGTATTCACTACTACTCGCCGTCTTCAAGCCGTGAGACCTGGCACTCACTCCCCATGATGAGCATTTATTAATAATGAAGTAACAGACTCTGAAACATTAATGTTAACCCTTGCAGAGGCGCAAGTGCATTCGGACAGATGGACTGTGATGTAAACACTAGAAATGACAAAAGCCACAGCCGACAAGCAGAGGAGAGGAGCCAGACCAAATACAGCCCGACTGACCGAGAAAGTCAAGAGAAAAACCAAAGGGTTAAGGCCAATCAAGTCTAAAAAAAAAATACATAAATAAATTTGCTCTAACACCCAATAAAAATGTAGCCATGTAGCCAGGACACAAGTAAAAATCTTAAATTACAAATATTTCTCTTCTTCACATATGTATTTGACTTTATTAGACTAACATTATACTATTTAATGTAGTGCATGAGTCTTCTGGACTAATTTATGATTGACAGATGTGCTCACTATGAACTGTTGAACTGAACATATCTGGGGAAGGATTAAATAAATAAAGTTTAATTGGCTCTAACAGTCGGTGAAAATTTCACCTTAAATTGCTTAACCATATCAGTGAATAATGACTTAAATTTCTCTTCCTCACATAAACCTATAGCATGACTTCTGAAGAATATACAATATAATATGCTTGAATCTTCTGACTAATTTATTATTGACAGATGTGTTCACTATGAACTGTTACACAGAAAAGATCTGAGATTCTTAAAGGGATACTCCACCCAAAATTGAAATTCTGTCATCATTTACTCACCCTCAAGTTGTTCCAAACCTGTATGAGTTTCTTTCTTCTACTGAACACAAAGTAAGATATTTTGAAGAATGATTGGACTTTGGCACCATTGACTTCCATAGTATTTTTTTTTTCTACTATGGAAGTCAATGGTGTCAAACAACTGTGTGGTTCCGATCGTTCTTCAAAATATCTTCCTTTGTGTTCAGCAGAAGAAAGAAACTCATAAAGGTTTGGAACAACTTGAGGGTAAGTAAATGATGACAGAATTTTCATTTTTGGGTGGAGTATCCCTTCAAAACAAATAAATAAATAAAAGTTAAATTTGCTCTAACATCCGGTGAAAATGTAGCCACTAAAAATATTATGAGCGAAAAAATTTATAAGTGTGTCTCTTCCTCACATAAACCTATATGACTTCAGAACTCATGCTATAGTTGAGTCTTCTGGATTAATTTATGATTGACATGTGCTTGGTTGACTCGTCCAGCAATGAAACAAGTATATGAGTGAGTCATTGATTCATACATCCAAACCGATTTATTTTTAAAAATATTATTCATTTAAATTAATGAAACATTTTTAAATTGACTGAAGCATTTAAAATTTTGTCAGAACCTCTAGTAAATCACTTGTAATTTTGTTTGTCTGTTCGGAATCATGGGAAAATCGTGATCTCTATAAAAAATTTTTTTAAAAAAAAGGTGATTCTAAATGTATCGTGCAGCTCAAGACGCCTCACAAAGATGTCACTAAAACAACACTGAACAGTGAAGAGCAGACCGCTTCGACTCCTGCTAGGAGAGTGGCATTCAGGATCAGGAAGCTGAAACTGTCATGGCAAACAACCTCTCGCCCACACACACGCTCTTCTGAAACAGGAAGAAGCCTGAAACTCAGCGTTTGCACATACCTGACCTCATCTTCCCTCTTCGCGCATCATACGCCTGCTGCATTTCCCCAAAACATCATCATTCTCCATTTACACTCAAACCTTGGACAACAATCGGCACCTTATGCACAACTCGTTTCCCCACCCATAATAACTCACTCAGGAAGTAAAACATTATTTAATAAACCACATATTTAACCCACAGCTAATCAAGCAGCACCAGTGCAGTGCGTACACTTGGGTCAGAGACAAAAATAAAAAAAAGTAATAGTAACTAACTTTATCTCGCAATTCTGACTTTATATTGCAATAGTTTATATCACACAATTGTGAGATTATATCACACAATTCTGATGAAAAAAGTCAATTATGAGATAAAAAGTCACAATTATTTTTTCTTTTTTTATTCTGTGGTGGAAACAAGCTTCCATTGGTATCATCTAATGGCAGGCATGTAAGAATCTCAGGTCACCACCGGTGTTCTAGTCTCAGACGGCACGCCAACAGACAGTCTGATGCATACATACATAAATCATACAGACAAAAGCTGATGCTGCAAAACTGCCCAGGAACACACAGAGTACCACTGGTCACTTTACATGCCAATCTTCCTGTCCAAGTGGACAGTTGTTTTCAGGATAAACTGCAATCTGGACCAGACTTTATGCTGGCAGCATGAGAGAAACACTGTTCTGATTACTGTGCACACAAAGTGGGGTGTGTGTAGAGATTTCTTGAGTGTGCAACTTGGTCACAGTGTGGAAAAGGTATATTTACACTGGTAAACAGAGTAGCGTGAGAACAGAGAAGAAACTCCCTCTGGGCAGAGGGTCATTTAAAACACTAATTCAAAGCCAGTGGACATACACCGCAAGACATTTAAAAGCGAGGTGGAAAAATTGGAAAAAAACTCCAACATCCCCAACCGACGGTGACACAGGTATTACAGGCGTTGTCACACGTCGATTAACAGGTAAAACATTTCATCACCATCATATCCCTAGACTCCAGTGGTTTAATCCTATGAAATGTTTTACGCAAAAAAAAAACCCACATAATTTACCACTTTATTTACAAAACATTAATCTCACACTGTTCAAGTAACAACATCTGCTCTCGCGTCAACACATAAGTCGTGAAAGTCTGGTGAATGCTTGTTGGGAGATTAATATTTAGTAAATAAGAGATAAAAAAAAAGTGTGCAAAAAACATCGCTTCATAAAATCAAGGTTAAACCACTGGAGTCGCATGGATTACTTTAATACCTTTCTGGGGCTTGAAAGTGGTAGTTGCGTAGACTGTCAATGGAGGGACAGAAAGCTCTCAGATTACATCAAAAAGATCTTTATTTGTCTTACGAAGATGAACGAAAGTGTTACAGGTTTGGAACGGCATGAGTGTGAGTAATTAATGACAGCATTTTAATTTCTGGGTGAACTATCCCTTTAAGGGGTATCTCCAGGCTGATGAGGTCACCACATATAAGGCTATAGGTCACCACACAGGTCACAGGTCATAGGTCATATATATATATATATATATATATATATATATATATATATATATATATATATATATATAACAGACATATGCACAAATATTAAAAAAATATAAACATACTCACCCAATTTCATCAAGGAAGCCAGTAGCACCCATAATGAGATCTCAAAGGGCAGCCGGACGTGTTCATAATCAAAAGCCAGAACCGGGAAGGGCTTCTTGATGTAACTGGAGTGATTTCCCTCGCCTCCGTGATTCGGGGGCCCGTGATCTCCCGTGTGGGATATCCCGTGACCGGTGCCCGTGTCTGGAGAGCTGGCGGCCCCTCCGATGGGCATCAAACTGCCCACCAGGAGCCCCAAGACAACGATGAACATCTTCATCTCCATGATAGTTGTGCGTTTCAGAAGATGAGAGGAATCACGCTCCTCCAGATACACGAATAACACGATATTATCTGACCAGGTCTGTCGATGCTTTAACTAGCTCTATGGCGAAGTTCCTTTTTAACCTACTAGATAGTTCCTGGATCATTTTCTGACTTCGGATTGACTTAAATCTTAAAGGCTTTGGTTTCCTACTTCCTGGACTCTTGGAAAAAAGCACTTAAAACACCCTTTCCAGGTGAAGAGAAAACCAGGAAATACAGACGTGTGTGTGTGTGTGTGTGTAGGCTATATACCAGCATATAAACTAGGAAACAAGCGGGTATATATCCTCAGATAAATAGAGAAGATTCCCTCAAAGCATTACTCTAAAAGGTAGAAATGATGTTCGTCCTCCAACATCATCATCACCATCATCACCCCCTCACAAACACTGTGTGAAAAAGGACACTCAATGACAACTCCACAACACTCCTCATCGATACAGTCCAAAGGCTCCAGTCACGTTTTCTTCATGTTGCTCGTTTGCTCTTCTGATAACATCTCAACCTGCTGTCCTGTCCCGATCACGGACGACAAGAAAAGTCTTTTAACTACGAATGACGTCTCTGTGTTCGTGCTATAGCGTCACGCGGGCATTTCAGCGCGCCTTAAAGAACTTATTCAATGTCCTTTAGCGATTCAACTGATCATTTCTCACACACATCGAGTCCTTTTCCCATGTCTGCAGTGCGTGATGCAGAACAAATATACGTACAGCCCTAAAAACACACCCTTTAGGCAGGTTTCGAAAAGTCAATGGGAGGGGTCTCTTTCTTGGCCTGCAGCGGCATCCAGTGGAGAGGAGGGTCGTCGGGTTGCCAAGACACGTCGAATTGGGGAATCCTTAAAGGGACAGTTCACCCCCAAAAAAACATGAAAATTACGTCATTAATTACTCACCCTCATGTAGTTCAAAACCCATAAGTATTTCGTTCATCTTCAAAACACAAATTAAGACATTTTTTATGAAATCTGAGAGCTTTCTGTTCCTCCATTGACAGCTACTCAACTACCACTTTGACGCTTTTAAAAAAATCATAAAGAGATTGTAAAACTAATCCATATGAATTGAATAGTTAAGTCCACATTTTCTAAAGAGACACGATCGCTTCATATGATGATCAGATTGAATTTTGGTGTTTATTCACGTCAACACACATTAGTTGCTGTCAATGGCCCCCGAAGACGAAATGTAATTAATGACAGATTTTTTATTTTTGAGTGAGATATCCCTTTAAAGGATATAGTTTGTCTAAAATAAAATAAAAGAAAAAATAAAGAAAAAATTCTGTATGCATTTTCTCACAACTTTTCAGACCTGTAGGACTTTTTTTTTCTTCGATGGAACACAAAAATACCATTCACTCTTTATAGATATAGCCTAATGAAAGTGAATGGAGACTGAACCCGTCAAGCTTTGAAATGACAAAAAAAGCACCATAACGTATGACTTCTGAAGTCATGTGATATCTTTATATGATTAATAAACAGAAATTTTGTCTGTATTACAGGAAACCTTTCCTTCTGCCGTTGTTTTAAAATGAATGGCATTGTTAAACAGTAGTGAGTTGTGATTCATTGCATGTATGTTATTTGAATGGATGTGGACAGAGGGAAAAACTTTTAAGAAATAACAATTTTGCTCATACACAGCGTTCAGATGGTTGGTTTTAAGGTGCTATTTTGTCATTTCATTTCCCATTCACTTTCATTAGTGAGTAAAGTTACAACTTATGTTTAATGCAAGAATTTTTCAAGCATGTAATGTATACTTTTCTCAAGCAACCCCTGTTTCAGTTTAAACGAATTTAGGTACCATGCTTTGTAGATATATTATCCTGGCTATAATGATGATCAGACTCGTTTTTTTGTTTATTTTATTATGCTAATACATTAGTAAGGGCAAGACAAATCTATAGGTCTATATGTATAATGTGAAAAATCTTCTTTTTTTTTTTTTTTTGGAATTGGGTTATTATTGTCAAGCAGACCTGGCAACCCTGCTTGCTGTGACAGGATGATTCAGTTAATTCAACAAACTCATGGCTTATTGTTCACTCCTAATCTATTGTTAGTCATACAACATTATTTGTGCTGCTTTCCAAGCATCTGTGTGGTTCCCTCCCTCGAATCTCCTGTTTGTACATCATGCATATAGGCTACTGCAGTTTCACTGCATATAAACCGGTTGTCCTTCATTCTCAGCTGAAGGAGACTAGATCCAAAAATCTGCAATGCAGCTCGGCACACAGCCAGGAAAGTGCATTTTGTCTCTAAATTACTGTTATTGAATAAGACATATGACACAAGACGTAAGTGTTTTTAAACGAAACCACATGAACTAACAGTCATCAAAATAGCCAAATGAGGCCAACAGGTAGTTTCATAATCCTCGTATGACTTATGACCAAACTGTCTACAAGTGGAACTAAGTAAACAACTCAGATAACTATAATCATGAGGAAGGAGAAGTTTGAATGACTCACTGCATGGTGTACAAAAGATCTAATGTTTGTATCATACATTTACCTAAATCGTTTGGCCATGTTTTTATTATAATTAGATATAATTGGCTACCCATTTGTTTATTCACCCAAATAGCATGTTAAAGAAAATCTGTTATTATAAGCTGACTGTATATTATCCCTTATATAATATCTTTGTGAATTTAAAATAAACATGGTCTGTGCTTTACTTACTGTATATTCCGAAACATGATATCCTCGTGTCCAGACAAAACCGGTCACATCTTCCCTAATGTGATTTGTGTGCTGCCTGAAGATATATGTAAAACACAACTGAATGAATAAACAATAGAATTAATATCTGCACATACTGATTGGGGAACAGAAACCTGAAGAGGAAAGATGCAAAAGGTCACAAACAAAAAGTAATTCTTACTAAAACAAGTACAGGTCATATTTCACAGCAGGAAAAAAAAAACAGGCTTAATTTTCTTTTATTCACACACACACACACACACATTACATGAAGAAACAGAAAAACTGATACAGACTAAATTGAGAAGAACTGCAACTTTTCCGAGAAACTTGAAGAAAGCGCCCTGCAAAGCTACAGAGAAAAGTTTCAGGAAAAGTTTCAAAATGCTGTAAAGTGATGCTTTCAAAAATAATGTCATAAATAGATTTTATTAATCAATTAAGTTAGATATATACACAAATTCATTTTTTTTTCATGAACATTAAACAAATTTTCTACCACACGATTGTAATGTGTTCGGATGTTTTATTTTAATCCTTAATATTAACGTTTTTACTTTTTGTCTATTGGAATGAAATGACCATGATTCACTCAATGTGCAATTTTATTCTGAAACATTTATTTTCAATCAATGTGTTTTCAAATGTCATACTTGCATGTAAATTTGATCTTGTGTATAATGCAGGCAAAAATAGCCGACCTCAATGCAGCCAGCAGCAGATCTGTGGACCTTGACTTTAACATCAGAGGTTGCTCTGTATCCTGCAATTGTCTGTTTTCTGTTGTGGCTGCTTGAGCTTTTCATGTGCTAGAATAGTTTCACTGTGATTTCAAGCTGCATCAAACACAGAAAATGAATAGACACAAGCTGGAGTGGTCAGAGGAAAAACATGGCAGATTTTATTGAGCACAAGTCTTAAATGCATGCCGGGTTTATTCTTGTGACTTGTTTGTTGCATTGAACTCAAAGACTAAAAGGTCTTGCATTGCAATCCATGTCAAAGGAATTACAAAACAATCCTAGCCTTACATTACAGGAGAACTGGAACAAAGTTAATGACTTTGAGGCAGGGTTATTTTTGCTAAAACTAAAACCATAAAAATAAAAATAAAAATAATAATAAACAAAAATAAAAACCATGCAGACATTAAAAAGTTCTCAACTGTTTACACACAAAATCCTTACTTGTCACACAATTCCTGAAACCTGACAATCAAACACCATACCCACACACCAAAACCATACAGCATTTATTTGCCTTCGACTCAGTTTTCAATTTCATAAAACACTGTTTGCAAACCACAACACACAATACTCTATAACACACAGTCTAACAGGAAGTATCTCGATTGCCTTTTTCAAACACAACCTATCAAATTGCCACAGTAATTCCTCAGAGCCTACACACACTACATCACATGTGCAAACACTCATTTCATTGCTTGTAAGGGATCCACTGGAGGCAAGCTGTAGAGAGAACCCAAGTGCAGTTTATTGCCAACATAAAACAAAAGCTTGGCGTGAACTTAAAGCAAAACATAAACGTGGACGTGGAGCTTACCAAACTGTACAGTGGAACAAAACTTGACAAAGACATATGGCAAACATGAGGGCTTAAATACACAGACTAATGACAATACAAGGGACACCTGTGAACAATGAACCAAAGAACCAATGACAAGACACGTTACATTGCTTTACTTACTGTAACACCAACCAATCATGGCTTTAGAATAGGCCAAAGGTCAAGTTATAGGTTTTTCAGACTGTGTAATACTGTATTCACAACCACAAACGCTTACAGTAAAAAAAAAAAAAAAAATAGTTTGGTTTCAATCTTGTTTTTCGTGTTTAACGTGAATCTCTCTGCCAATTACATTCAATCTTGTACAGGACTGTTCATAGAACTATGATATATCCAAAATATAATATTATGGCAAAGGTGTTTGCAACGTAAGACAAATGTTTGTTTTTAAAATGTGTTTGTGATATTTAAAAAAAAAAAACAGAACAAAATGACAAAATCTTCAAAAGTTAAAATGGCAGTTTAAAATGAAAGTTAAAATAAAAAACAGAAAATATCATTTAAAATATTAACACAAACTACACTGTAAAAAATAAACATGCAAAATGTACTGGTAATTTTCTGCCAGGACATTATCCTGTAATTGTAAGGCGATTTATGTTAACCTTAAACACAACACAATGCAATGCATGATTCAAAATACAGGTAAAACACCTGTTTTCAAAAAAGAAGAAAAAAATGCATAATTCCTTCATATTCAAACAGCACATCGAGCCCTATTTTTGCAGACTTTTTAAAGTGTATAAATGAGTGTTAGTAAAATAACACTGTTTGTAGAGCAGAGTATTATAAAGGAAAGGTTAAAATCAAACAAACATGCAAAGAAATAAGTGAGATTCATCATCTAGTCCTTCCTCAGAGACCTGTAATTAATACATTGGCTATGTATTTCAATTATTATTATTATAAAACAAAATGTTTTTAGAACGACTCTGATTATAAAAATGAAATATACAATTTCCTTTGCATTTGTTGGAAACGTGTATTTTGAAAACCATGAAATAGTTGAGCACTAAAGCCACAGTGGCATTTTCGTAATATTCTTCTTTACAGGATCAGGACCCTCGGGCGAGAGAATGCAGGAGAGATGTTTGTGTCTTTAAAATGTGAGCGAAAGGAAATGAAGAAACGTCCATGTGACATTAGCTTTGAGAAACCTCTAAAGGCAGTTCCTGAGGATATGAGATTTGTGAAATGTGTTGCATGTATCATATATATAGGGGATTGTAATGTGATGCCAACTCATTTCAGAATATATAGTGCGATATTTCTTTGCTTTTGATCTTTTCTGCTTTTGCACTTGTGGTTAAAAAGAGTGGTTCAACAATTTTGTCTTACTGGGAACAAATACTGACTGACTTGCAAAAAGTATTTAGATTCTGA